AGATTAAGCACATGGAGCCACACAAAAAGGCCAAGGTGACCAGAGTGTATGAAAAGAAATCAGGAGTAGTGGCGACCGTCGACAAAGGAAAGCAGCCAATAAAGATATATGCAGAAAAACATCGCCAGTCTTCGCCACAATACTCTAAAAAATAGAATAGTCAATCCAACCAGCGACCGCCTCAAGAGGGATCACCTCAAACAACAGATAAGAAAATGTCCCTGTCAGAGCACCGTAAGATGGTGTATTTTTTCAAAGAAGAAGCTATACCTAAAATATTCAGAAGTCTCATGAAGAAGCCAGAATTCAGACTACTAGAATTCAGACTACTAGATCCAAAGGTTAGGAAAAAGAAGCCCAAAGAGGTGGATAGGAAGAATGAGCCAAATTATTGCCCATATCATGAGTTGCTCGGGCACACTATAGAAAAATGCTTCGTATTTAAGGATTGGCTCGAGAGGAACCTTAAAGAAGAGAACATAGAAATCTCGAAAGAATATTTAAAAGAACCTAAAAAAGGCTCCATAAATATGATTTCGGCCGGGCCAATCTCCCCAATCAATCTGTATACTGGAATAGATAGATGGAGTACAACTTGAAGGATGAACTCAAGATGGTCCTTAATCAAATACAAGGTTCATCAAAACAAGCTTCTAAAAACACCTAAGAAGAATGGAATGAGGTCTGGAGTAGATCATCCAAGAAAATACTGAACAAGATTCAGTCTGCATCAAAACTCAGTCCAAGATTCAGTCTGCATCAAAACAAACCTCCATTCAGAGTCCGCAACATACCAAGCCTGAGATGAAGGTTTCCTCAGGAGATCCACCATCATCAAGGACAAAGAAGAAGAAGAGAAGCCTCTCTACAAAGATTGATAGTGTGGGGGGTAGGATAAGGGTTGCCTCTACTAGATTGGGAGTTAGTTAAAACATTTTCTGAATTGGAACTACTTTTTGTGAAAAGATTTGTCGGGGCACAACACCATGTGTCTATCGGAGAGCTCATGATGGAAAAGCAAAAGCCTAGCGAAACTTTGGTAGACTATATTGGTAGACTATATTTT